AACTCCTTAGATATGGCGAATTTGAAACAGAACGGACATGTACCCCAGGTGGATACCCCAGAAGCAATAGCTTCGAATCCCACACCTTCGAAAAGACGGTCAACCTCATGGATTCTGAAGGAGGCAAAAATTCGCACTCTAAAAAGAAAGACATCATAATAGCAACAGACAACTGTAGTTCACTCCTGTCGACACTCAACTATATCGATCTAGAAAACGAACTGGGCATCGATTGTATCCTATCATCGTCCAGGAAAATTGTTACCGACGTCTCAATTCTAAACTCTTTCAACACAGGAAGCGACCACGAAAAAGTCAGATCTAAATTATCCATCCATACAGAAGCCGAAAAGATATACTAAGCACAACACAGACTCAATAGATAGCAGCACTCTGAAAGAAAACAATATCATATACCAAAACGAATTGAAAGCCAAATTAAGCGAAAATATAAGCCCACCAAATATAAATGAAATGGCAACACACCTATCAACGATAATTAAAGAAACTGCAAGAAAAAGAAAAACACAAGAGCAGGATGGTTCCAATATCGTCGCCGTTTTCTTTCCCATTTGAATATGTCCTGAGGCTGACTTTCCTCTTAGATGGCTGTGTTCCACTTCCTACCTCTCAGAGTGTATCCAGATATGGTTCTCACCATCTTCATTTCCGTCGTTCTCGGGATGGACTGAGTTCTTTTGCTATCCGCTCGAGTTTCTATGCCGTACGTCATGATGGGTCGAGTACAAGTTTTGTAGATCCTGGCTTTTAAATGTCTGCTCATATATTTTTTGTTAAATATGACGTCGCGAAGTGCTGTAATATCTCAACATCTACTAGACCGAATTGAATTTTTTTTCTCAAAGAACCGTCTGTCCGAGTACTATCTTTCCTGTTTGTTTAAATGCGTTCAAATTGTTGGTGTTTGGTTTTTAAGCTGGATTTTGCTTAGGGTGGGTGTTCCCAAAGGGGGTCTGCCATTAGACAATTGGGAGATTTCAAGTGGACTTTTGGGATTGTTCGGGAAAACCTTTCTTGGATTCTGGAGTATTTGTGTGGTCAAGGACTCTGGTTTTTGAACTTTTTGTGGAGTTCAGAAATTAATTCCTGAATGGTCTCCATTTCGAGGTTTTTGTGGATTTGGGTGTTTCTAAGAAGGTAGGCAGCAATTTGAATTCCTTTTGTAATTGTTTGGTTTATGTGTTTAGTAAAGTTTAATCTAGAGTCTATTATTATGCCAAGATATCTAACTGCCTTTGTGTATTCGAGTTCGAGTTCGAGAGTACAGAGTTATTAAAAACCTTCTCTCGTGGAGAAAGCTTGAAAACAAACTGAACAAATATTAGTGGTAATTTGCGTATGTTCATTAGTTTCCAAATCAAGCCCTAGTGTCATACTTTGTCGAACGTTTTTTCTATGCCCAGGAAAATGACTCCATGGGGACCTTTCCCTGGAGAGCAATCGTGGCATCTTGAATTAGCCTGGCTGCTTGCAGCACGGCATCATGTTTGGTTTAGGAGATTTTCTGGAAGAAGTTTGAGGATTGTGTTTGTAATTTGGCCTCGTCCGGGAGCTTTACGGGTTTTTAGGGTGTTTTTTTTTGTTTTCAGTTCGGTCAGTGTTCCGGGTGGAATTTGGGGGCAGTCTGGGGGGGTTTGGCTGCGTTTGGTTTCTCTGAGTTTGTACGTAACTTTCTCTTCGAAATTAGGGTCGGTTGTCTGGGACATGTTGGGAGAAACCTGGTTTTCTAGGGAGTCGGCGAAAACTTCCACTTTCTCCTCATCCGTATAGACCAGTCCTCTCTCGCCATGTATTKGGGGGAAGTGTGTTTTTGTTTTTCTTCAAATTCTTAGCGATTTTTCAGGCGATATTGTCGCTTGTTGGGATGTTTTCCAATAGACCACTTTTCGTTTTTAATGTTTTTAATTTGAATTTGGATTTGTTTAGTGAGGCGGTTTGGTTCTTTGTTGAGATAAGCATCAGAGCATTACTTGGCCCTGCGTTTTAGTTTGTTTCGAGTTTTACTGAGCTGATTAAGCTAAACTTTTGACATTTTTTGCACTGATGAATGTACTTTAAGTTGCTTATTGAAGAGTTGCGGTGAGGCTTGACGACTGCCGCCAACTTTAAGTGCTTTACCTAACAGATTTTGGTTTGCTCTTTACGAAATAGCATTTTTACCATGTTGGTTTCGTTTTGAATTTTTCCATTCTGAAGAACTGGACTTGGGATGGGTTTAAGCGGCTTTTAATGGCTTGCTTTTTGGGGCAGAGACAGTTGACTGACGACTTGATTTACGGCTGTGTTGAGTTTCGCACCATAACAATCGTCGTAAATGTAGAGAAAGTTGACTGAATACCGAGCAAAATGCTTTGTTTCCTAAAGGTGTGTAATATCCCCTTTCTTAGTATAAATTAACGTATGGCTATGAAACAGCTTTGCCATCCCAACAAATCAATAACCCTTTCTTCAGAAAACCCATGGTCGGTATACAATTCGGTGTAATCGACTACCTGCTAAGCGATAAGGAGATACTGGCACCACGTTTCCTGAATTTGACATTGCGAAGATCACAAGCCCAACGAATCTGTACAAATATTGCCTGAACAGTAATGAACAACGTTTTTGGTTAACTAAAACGATCTCGGAATTCATCTTCGCTATATTTCTCAAAATTACCGTTTCGTGCGCGAAAATGGCGAATTATTTCACTACTCAGAACATCAAAAGCTTCTTCCCCAGATGAGTCCGCAGTAGAATCATCACTTATTTTCAAAAATTTTGCTCCCAAAAATGTTATTATTGTTTTCGCAAAACGAGTTCTCTGCTCGTAGCTGATTTGTTATGTCTTTTGACACTAAAGCTGGATTTACAGTCGCCGTAACGTAAAACGTAAGCCGTAAAGCCTTGGGTTTGCTTGTGCGATTGTTGCATGCGTCTTACGCAAGCAGCCGCTACATACATAACATGACCATCGTAAACCACAAAACAGCATCAAAAGCTCCCGCAGAAATCCTCTGCACAGCTTAATGCCAGGTAGGATCATTAAGAAAATGAAACGAGTCTAGTTTGCGTCTGGATTTTCCATATACCGGAAGTGGACCATAATTTTTCAGACTTCCTCAATCGTGAAGAAATTCGCAGAATTGGGATCAAGCATTTGTCAAGAAATTCAAATATTTTTCGTAAACAATGCAACTATAGCAAAGGACAATCTACCTGGGTTCGAACCAATAAGGTTCTATTTTTGGGCCGAGTCGATAGTGATGAAATCAGGAAGCTTTTGCGACTCTGCGAGAGGGTGCATTGGTCAGTATGTGCGTAGACGTGGATGTATCAAGTAGTAGTTTGAAGTGGTTGCGATTTAAACAAGATGTCATTTTCGTTAAGAGGATATACTTACCGCTTTGCTTCTATAGGGCAGTCTGGATTGATATGGAAGTGCGATTGGAAGAATTGTAGTGCTGAAATGATTTTCGATGTAAATGGAAACTTAGTGCAAGAGTGTAGAACTCATTCGACGAGTTGTTTGTTAAACTTATGTCTTACGGACTTGGACGTTCCGTCTAGCAGTGACAGTGACAGTGACAGTAGCAGCGACAGTAGCAGTGACAGTAGCAGTGACAGTAGCAGTGAAAGTAGCAGTGACAGTGACAGCGAAATGGACTGCACTGAGGACTCATTTGAAATGGCATCTCAAGATGAGCAAATGGATGTTGGCCCAATAAAGGACGATGTTAAACCGATAATGGACAATGCTGAAGCGATAATGGACGATGCTGAACAAATTATGAATGTTGAACCTGAAGCGGACATTATGATGGATAGTAAGTGCCAAATTAAATAAAAAACTGTTCACTTTCTCCTCTGAAAGGATAAAAGCTTAAATTGTGATTTATCCTGTTATGGTTCTAGTATATTTGTTCGGATTTATAGTAAAGTTTCGTTCGTTTCAGATAAAAGTCAAGTCCAGAAAAAAGCTTCTGCCAGAAAAGTAGAACCCTCTTTGCGTACTGAGCTGTTAAAGTGTCAACTGCATAACTCCGTAATAAGAAACGGTCCGGCAATAATATTGCGAAAGCTGATCACAAACGGTACGTTACAAAATCTAAATTTGCTTCATTTTTGAATTCCCAACTATAACAAACAAATGTAGAAACTAGGCTATGTGTCTTCATATCTAACATATTTTTTTAGGGGATTTGTGAACACGATGTGTTTCTTTGCACAAGAGCTTGGCCAACGGGGAGCACCGGACCTACGAGAGTCAAGGCGCGCCACAGCACTAATAATTAACATATACTTCGAAGATAATTCAAGCTGATTCAAGAATAATCTATTAAATGACATGAAAGTGGTAGCTCAGCAGAACATCACTAGTTTTACCTACGACCGCTACTGAACAACACACTACCCACCATCTAAGTTCCATTTTACGCATTGTAAGCCAAGCGCCACAGTTCTGTTACCATATATCACAATATAAACGTTGTATCTTGTATTAAAAAATACTTACCCTACTGAAAAGTGAGTCTGATGGTTTAAAAGCAAGAAGTCCGAAGTTATTATGGTCGTAGGTAAAAGTACTGTACACAATTCGAGTTGTCATAACATTTTGATTTAAATAACAAACAAACATATGTTGTAGATAAGTTTTATATTGTTGAGGCGGATTCATTTTTTACAAACTTCTTTTTGGGTATTT